CACACACACACACACACACACACACACACACATACAACGATTCATCATACTAATCGCAATCGTCATTCACCAGGCACGTTCTCGTTGCAGGTAACTTTGAAAGAAATGGAGGACCACAAAGTGACCACACATCCGAACGTCTGGTGTTCTCACTTTGAGTTCTCTGGTGATCAAAGGGAGCTTTACAAGCATCTATTTCTACCAGGGAAGGACGTGCCCACGGCGAAAGCGAGGGCGGCCATCTTGGTCGAAAAGGTGTGCACCAAGTGTTCCAAGAATTGTACTACGCTGCCAGAATTGCACAGGCACATGCTGGAGTGCGGCGGGGACCAGGCATGGTTGCTGGGCCTGTTCGGCAACGGGAAGAAGAAGTGCAAGTGGAGGCCGTTCGGGAGTCGCAGCAGGAGGCGACGGCAGCGGGGAATGAAGAGAAACATCCAGAATTCGCAGACACCGAGGGTGAACGCTCCGAGGGAGAAGCAACCTACGGGGCCGCGGGTCAGGCCCAGCGACAGTGAGTGATCGTTTGCTTTCGTCACACAGTGCTATAAAAAATTTCCAAATCTCAATTTATAGAATGGACACTTTGTCACAGTGTGTGGACAGACTGCAAAACTCAAATGGTGGAGAAAAGATCGACCATATAAATGCGTCTCAATAAAAGGGAAAACTAATTCCAAAGTTTCTCCCCTCGTTTCTTCGATGCTCGCGTCTCTCAAGTCCAAGCACTTGATCAAATCGCGTAATTAACACCTGCCCCCCTGTAGGGCATCGATTAAGCGATCGTCTTGTGACTCTCTGCTGCGTTCGTAATGTCCTGTGAAATATACATTTTAATTGGCGCGAATGAATTTTAATTCTGCGCGAGAAAAAAAGAGGAAAAACACGCGTTTCGAGACGGAGAATTAGTGCAACGCGGTTTTAATTTCGTACGAAGTCAGGGTGAATCGTATTATGTTTCTCTCTCTCTCTCTCTCTCTCTCTCTCTCTCTCTGTTTTTAAACGGAGATTTCATTCTCAGGGAAAGGGAATTTAAGAAGAAAGAAAAAGTAATGGCAGCACGTGCTTTGGAAATTGATAAAAAGCGACTGCAAACAGGAATATACGAGGAAATTCGTTAACCACGTCAGAGAAACGTTTAATTACTGCACTAATTAAAACTTTGTTGCATTCAGCTGAGTCACTTATTCGACAACTTCTCCGCGCGATAATTACGGCCATGACGAGCCACGATCATTTGAAACTTATTAATCATGCGTCGATTAATATTAATGTACGTCCAATACGCGTAACACGTTTTTCTTGCATCGTGGATGATCACGGTGTTTTCAAATTTTGCTGATCAAAGTGTCGAGGGAGAATTTAAAAATGGCACTGGGGAATCAATTTTGGCCAAATTTCAATTTCTCGCAAACTTTCCCCGTTCGCAGGAACCTAAATTAAGAAACCCAGTGATATCAACTCATCACTGAGTTTCACTTTGAATGATGTAATTAAACATTAAACACATCAAAATAATGTAATTTAAAAAAAAAAAAAAATAACACAGATAAATGGTTCATTCTTCGTTTCTCTGTTCGTAGGGGAGAGTATACAAAAGATGTTGGCCAACTTACCGCCCAAGAGGGCAACCAGGAAGGTGTTGCAGGACACTACACTGAGAACGCAGGGTAGATTGCGCACCGTAAGTGTTGAATGTTCGAACGATTCTATTAACCTTCTAAATGTTCAGTTTTTGGTATTTGTGTTTTTTTTTTTTTTTTTTTTTTTTTTTATTGTGGAATAACACCGCAATCATCATCCAAGTGCTATTCATACTAAGCGGAATTAACTGTTACACACGCTAATTTGGCAGGCAACCGAAACAGAGTTCGAGAAT